TCGGGGTGGCTCGCGCTGGTTCTCAGCGCCCCGCCTCGGTGCCTTTCTTCCCGGAGGTGCATGAGGAGCTCACCAGGTCATGGACGGCAACTTTTACTGCCGGAAACCGATCTGCTGGTTCCTCCTCCCTCACCACCCTCAATGGTGGTGCAGCCAGGGGGTATAAGGGGGTCCCCCAGTGGAGCGGTCGGTTGCGATGCAATTGTGTCCTAATACCGCCTCCACCCGGCAGGGCAAACCGTGCCTCCCCTGCCGGGTCTGTAGGTACTCGTCTGGCCTGTCCGGCGATGCTTATACGGCCTGTGGAGAAGCTGCCTCCGCCTTACACGCTACGCCGTCCGGCGATGCATATACGGCCTGTGGAGAAGCTGCCTCCGCCTTACACGCTACGCCGTTACTGCAGGTCCATCTGGCCAAGGCACTGAGGGACCTGCAAGAGGGTGGTCATGATCCGGAAGTTCTGAAAGAGCTCCGAAGCACTACTGCCCTCACGCTCCGAGCGACGAAGGTCACCGTGAGTTCTCTGGGTCGTGTGATGTCCACACTTGTGGTCAAGGAGCGTGTCTGGTTGATATGAGGGATGCCGACAAAGTTCAGTTCCTTAATATGCCCCTGTGTCCCAGACCGGCCTCTTCGGGGGACGCGGTCGAGAGCTTGGCCCAGCAGCTCTCGGCTGCACAGAAGCAGACTGAAGCATACACCCTCCCCTGGCGGGCAGCTGCTGCCTCCTACCGGCCGCAGTGCCCCAGCCTGCTCGTCGCTCGGGAGCCGCCCGAGTTGGGTCCCTGCGTTTCACCTCGCTGCCCCACTGAGGGTATGACAGTGGTTCTGTTGGTCCCTCTTGCACTGTATCTGTGTGCCTGGCAAGCGCTACCAAGCCCGTCTCGCTGGCTTCTGCAGACCATCAGCCTCGGCTATGCGATTCTGTTCGCCCGGCGTCCCCCCAAGTTGAGCGGCATTCGCTTCACAACAGTGAAGGCGGCCGATGCTCCTGTCTTGTGTGCGGAGATCGCAGTCCTACTGGCGAAGGATTCGATAGAGCCCTCAGCCGATATGAATACGTGGTTTTACAGCCAGTCATTGTACCAAAGAAAGGCGGTGGGTTACGACCAATCTTGGATCTGCGTATCTTGAACCGGGCCCTTCACTGGTTACGGTTCAAGATGTTGACGCTGAAACGCATCTTCGGGTGCATCAGTCCCCGAGATTGGTTTGCAGCAATCGACCTGAAGGATGCGTACTTTCATGTGTCGATCCTTCCGCGCCGCAGACCATTTCTGCGGTTCGCGTTAGAAGGACGAGCATATCAGTACGAGCCGGTTACCGTTCAAGATGTTGACGCAGAAATGCATCTTCGGGTGTGTCTGTCCCTGAGATTGGTTTGCAACGATCGACCTGAAGGACGCGTACTTTCATGTGTTGATCCTTCCGCACCACAGACCATTTCTGCGGTTTGGTGTTCGAAGGACGGCATACCAGTACAAAGTCCTGCCCTTCGGGCTGTCCCTGTCTCCCCGTGTCTTCACGAAAGTCGCGGAGGGGGCTCTTGCTCCCCTCAGAGAGCAGGGTGTTCGCATCCTCAACTATCTCGACGGTTGGCTAATACTAGAACAGTCTCGAGATCAGTTGTGCGAGCACAGGGACCTGGTGCTCTTTCGCCTCAGCCTGTTGGGTCTTCCGGTCAACTGGGAAATGAGCAAACTCTCCCCGACGCAGAGGATCTCTTTTCTCGGTATGGCGTTTGATTCGGCGAACAGATAGCACGCCTCACAGAGGAACGTGCGCGGTCGGTGCGGACCTGCTTGAATTCGTTCAAGGGCAGGACAGCGGTTCCACTGAAACTATTTCAGAGGCTCCTGGGGCATATGGCAGCTGCAGCGGCACTTACACTGCTAGGGCTATTGCATATGAGACCGCTTCAGCACTGGCTTCCTGGCCGAGTCCCGAGGTGGGCGTGACAGCATGGCACTCACCAGGTCCAAGTTACACCAGCCTGTCGCCAAACCTTTACCCCGTGGTCAGATCTTACGGGCAGGAGTGCCCCTAGAACAGGTCTCCAGGCATGCTGTGGTTTACACGGCTGGGGGGCCCGTACAACGGGCATGCAGTGTCGGGGGTTTGGACAGACCTCCATCTGCACTGGCATATCAATTGCCTAGAGTTGTTAGCAGTGCACACAGGGTGTCCTTGAGAACTGGTAGAAGGCTGGTTTCCATATGTGAGACCTAAATGGATCCCATATGTGTAAGGTCCACGGTATAGCCTCAGAGCCCGTGTTTCCCCGGCAGACTTCTGCCATTTCCAAGAGGGTTACAATTACCTCCAATTTTCCATATGCTCCTAAACTGATGTTCATATGTGTATTTGCTTCAGAAACCTCATTCAGGAAGGATGGGGCTTCCGCAGAGTCCCTGTTCCAAGTGGAACGGGTATGTTTTCCCAGTGTTATCCAATCTCACTGAGTGGGAAGTGCTACGACAACTGTG